CCTCCAACCACGCAGCATCCCCACGGCGCGGGCTTTCTGCCCCGCACAGCGGTTCGGTGGGGTTGGACCCCCGGGAGGTCTCAACGCCGCAACCCCCCTCTCCGTGGGGCTCGGCAATGGAATACAGGCACAGAAAAAGCAACAAAAGGCGCTTTTTACCCCCAGGGTTCACACCCTGCGCATCGGCAGCTTTAATTCCCACCCTGGCTTGCCCCAAAGCTGAAGTCAACAGCACCGGGCGATATCCCTTAAATCCGAAGCGCACCCAGGCATCGAGCATCACCGAGCATCACCGAGTATCCTCGAGCTCTACCACCCTCCTCGTCCAGCGGTGTTTAGTCCCGGGGGAGACGGGGACGGAGCGGGCAGCCCTTCGCCCACCAGCTGCTGTTTGCAAGGCGTAATTTCAAGGATCAAACCCTCACCGAGACAGGCGAGGGGCGGCCGCGCAGACAGGTTGCGTGCCGGGGTGACCTGAAACGCACTCTTTCTGTTTAAATTCTGGGTGAATTTTAACCGCCTATGGTGTTTTTCTGCTTGGACACCTGGCGGTACCGATTTCGTTCACACGGAGCTCCAAGCGCTGATGTGTTGGCTCAGATAGCGCACCCCCTCGGTACATGGCGATAAAGTGGGCTGCAAAAGCTGTGGTTTGCGGATGGGGAAAGAGAAACAAACTCCACATCCTCCCAGGGCTGTGCATTTGGCCCCAGAGGAGGAGGAGGGATGGGGCTGTGATGGCGGTGGCCGTGCTCAGGGGGATTCAGAGAGCCCAGTGCCACCGTGGTCCCCGTGTCCCCGGGGTGTGGGGTGCTGGGGCTGTCCCTGTGCCGTGGCCGTCCCCTCTGCACGGGGCAGGCGGGTGTGTGGGTGCTGCGGGGTTGGGGCGCCCGTGTCCCCTCTGGGGATGGCCATGTTGGGGCTGATCCCGTCTGCCCCGGTTCCTGTTTTTCCCTTGGGACACTGCACTTTTATCCCTTGTTCTTCCCCCCCTTGGATTTCTTCCCCGCCAAGTTTTCCACCCATGGTGGTAGCGGCACTGGGGAGACTGGGCTGTCCATCGGGATGGGATGCTCAGGGGTGTTTTTTGGTGATGAGCTCTAGAAAAGGTGACTCCCCACCTTTTTTCCTCTCCCTTTTCCATGGCCTGTGGACCCCCTGCGGAGCCGTGGCCGTCCCCTGTGCCCGAGGGTGGAGGGCAGCGCGGGGCAGGTGCCCGAGAGCGGGGTCTGTGCGAGGGCAGAGGTGAGGGGGCCGGGGCAGGCGGGATGGGGAAGGGGCGGAGGTGCCCACGGGGCTGTGGGCTGTTGTGTCCTGTGCCCCTCCTCATCCTCCCTGTGTGCCCCCGCGGATAACTCGCCATCATCCCCGGGGTCTACTTAAATTGGCCCGGAGAGCTGGCGAGGCAAACAGCACGTGCCAGACGGGGAAGAGGTTTTGCTGAGGGCCTGACCTGAGTTCCCTTTTCTCACCATCTCTGTGATTTCCACAAGTCGCATCCTTGTTCCCTGCCTCAGTTTCCCCATCAGCGGCAGGGGGGGATTTCCCCCTGCGCCGGGCTGGGCGCCTGCCCGTGCCGGGGTTTCCCACAGAGCACTATGCACCCGCAATCTCTGCCGGAAGAAAACTGCTAAAACTATTGTTTGGCATCACCAACTTAATTAGAGATTCTCTCCAAGCAAACGACATCACCATTCTCTTTTTTTTACCATTCCATCATACGCCACTCATATTTTTTTTCCCTTACTCCGCTGCTTGTTTTATTTTGTTTCTACATCAAGACAAACCAGACACCTCGTGCGATGGTGTGTGAGCACTGCCCGCTCTGAGACCGAGATTCTGCGCAGCGGACACGGGGAAAGCGATGGAGCATCCCCATATCGCAAGGAGCATCTGTGGGCACTGACAGGCTCCCGCCGACAAGCAAACCCCCACGCTCAGCCCTGCCTGCGCCCCCAGCCTGCTCTGCAGGAGCTGCCTCCGCATCTCACCCCCTTTGGAAAGTCAGGAGCGGAGGATGCTTCGCTCTGGCTGCGTTTTCTCCCTGCCCGGCTAAGTCACGATGGAAACGGTAAGATACAGAACGGCGTTTTCTAACCAAGACATCAAAAAAACCCCAAGTAGTCATCCAGGAACAAACCAAGTCATCCAGGGTTCCCGTTCTCCCTCAGGTTCTCCCGTTTTGTTCAGGGAGGCATTGGGGTGCTGAGATACCCAGAGCCGTGCATGGACTCGATCCCAGTCTGCCCAACTCATCCCAGTCTGCCAAAACCTCCCCCAGCGTAGGGCATCCCTGGTGGCCAGCAGTGTGCCCTGGTGGCCAAGAAGGCCAATGGCGTCCTGGGGGGCATCAAGCAGAGTGTGGCCAGCAGGGCGAGGGAGGTCATCCTTCCCCTCTGCTCTGCCCCAGTGAGGCCACATCTGGAGTATCGTGTCCAGTTGTGGGCTCCCCAGTTCAAGAAGGACAGGGAACTGCTGGAGAGGGTCCAGCAAAGGGCTACAGAGATGATGAGGGGACTGGAGCATCTCTCTGATGAGGAGAGGCTGAGGGAGTTGGGGCTTCTTAGTCTGGAGAAGAGAAGACTGAGGGGGATCTCATCAATGCTTATCAGTCCTTCAAGGGAGGGTGCCGGGGGATGGGAACAGTCTGTGTCCAGTGGTGCCCAGTGACAGGACAAGAGGGAACGGGCACAAACGTGACCATGGGCAGTTCCATCTCCACCTGAGGAGGGCCTTCTCTGCTGTGAGGGCAGCAGAGCAGTGGCAGAGGCTGCCCAGAGAGGTGGGGGAGTCTCCCCCTCTGGAGCCATCCCAAACCCGCCTGGACGCCGTCCTGTGCCACTGCTGGAGGTGCCCCTGCTCTGGCGGGGGGTGGGATGGGGGAGCTCCAGAGGGCCCTTCCAGCCCTCACCAGTCTGTGATCCCAAGGCCAGGGCCTCCAGCAACGCCGAGAGACGTTGCACATGGAGAGGGACAAATATGGTGAGTATTGTCAATATTTGCCCACTTTGGGTTCTCCAAAGGAGGGGCCTTGCCAAACGGGTACACGGTGGCCATAAAAGCTGCGACCGGTGGCACCTTGGGCTCACCCGAACACCAGAGCTGCCACCACCAGACATGAACCTCTTCTTGCTGCTGCTCCTCTGCCGTGAGTACCCCCGTGCCAGCTCTCACAGCATCGGGCGAGGTGGTGGGGAAAAGCCCAGCGCCGGCAATTTCTCCCCATAAACATAAAGCTGGGGTGGGGTGGGGTGTGTGAAAACCCTCTTTTTTTGCTCCAGAGGGGGGTGGGAGAGGAGGTTGCTTTTCCCGCTGCTCCTAACCCCCCGTCTCCAGTGGCAGGGCTGGCCCCCGCCGGCAGCAACTTGATTCAGTTCGGTTCGATGATTAAGCACGAGACTGGGAAATCGCCGCTGTCCTATGACCGTTACGGCTGGCACCGCGGCCGGGGGGGGGGCCCAAAACCCCGGGGGGGGCACAGCAG